TATTGTTTAACTACACACTCTCTAAAAAATCACCATTCCAAAATTTATTAACCCAAAAAAAAACTTGTATCAAACAAGCCATAAGTTAGGGACAAATCGGGCAATGCAAAATATTCAAATTATTTATTTATTTATTTTGAAGAAATAGTGCATACAACTTGAATTAAAATTGATTCAATCTTGACTAAACCATTTAAAATTGTTGACTGGTTTGTAATAATTTGATTTTTTCCACCGATTCAAGTATTAATTACTTCTGCATCTCTAGTGATTAGCTGCTACAAAGGTGGGCCCAAAACAATTGCTTTTTCCTTAATCTTATCTTAATCAAAAGATTCCTAGTTAAAACATCTCATTATTATCCTTAAGATTGATGTAATTAATGATGTAAGTGGTTTTATGCATTCATGGTGAAACGTCCAGGAATATTTATTTGGAAGCAAAATTTTGTTTGAATCATAAATTTCAAGCTATATTCTACATATTGAGTACTGTTTCGAAGTATTTATGCCGATCTTTGCGTCGAGTCTTTTAAATTGAAAAACCGTTGGACCGAGACAAAATAATGAGCCAAATATGTCGTCTATAAATAAATTTAATTCTTCATTCGTCATCACATCTTTCGGAATGAAAAATCGTTAGACGGTAAGTTCAAAATAACGAGCTAAAGATGGTTGATAGAGAAAAAAAATTAATATCGAATTTCGTTTCTACTTTTCGACGTCAATTTAACTAAAATTCTACTTGACACAATATAAAGATATGATGAATTTTCGAGGTGTTGTAATGAGCCCTAATAAATTCTTTTATATATATAAAAAAATAGAAAACCTATTTTTTTTTAATTTTGGTTTAAATTTTTTCAACGAGAGAAAAAAAAATTTCCAAAAATTAGAAAGTGGGAAAAAATTATGAATTTCATAGAACGGGTAATTGAAAATTATTTTCAAAAATCTCTGACAAACAAGCTTTTAAGAAAGTGTCTTTATACGTTCTCAAAGTGTGTATAAAGGTATCTCGATCGAGATTCACTATTCACCATTCTCAAATTATGAAGATTGTATTTTATTTATATCAATTTTATAATATATTTCAAATTTATTTTTTATTCTATATTATATGGATGTGCATGTGTAATGAGAAGGGGAACAGAATTATGAGATATGATACATGCAACTTAATAATGCTCGGAAAATAACGTATTAATGTTACTAAAGAGACATTGTACGGATACGTACAAAGATTTTCCCCACGCACGCTATGTTCCTTTGTTGCCACTTTAATTAATTAATTAATATTTAATTAAAAGCTCTAATGAGATTAATCACTTATAAGTGGGTTACTTCTATGATAGTCATGATGGGTATGTTCGACACATTGTAAATATGGTAAAAGAGATGGTACAAGATATGCATGGACAAAACTAATTTAAGGAAATTTATCCTCTTTACTAAATCAAATTAATAAAATTGTTTTAAGGGATAGGTTTAGATGTTTTCTCCCTTAAAATTTTTTATTATTGCTTTCGAAAAGACCCCCCTTAACGATCTTGTCCACGACCCGCTAATTGTTTAAGTCGTCTCTATATTGCTAACAATATTAAGAAGTTATAGTGAGGACATTATAGCTTGATAAATGATCGAAAAAGGCAACCTAAACTATGTTGAAGGCAACTTGGCAAGCGAAAATGGGGACAAGTAATTAAATCTAAATTTAAAGGAATGTGAGATGTAAGTCTTGCTGAATGTGGATAATAAATAAGTAGCAGTTGTGGACCGTAAGAAGTATAGGGACAACAAAGTATGTTTTATCACAAATTATTAAATTATAATCACTTTCCAAACATGAACTTAGTAATCATGTCACAATTTGTTGTATCATTTACTCCATGCAAATTCGTGAGTAAACATGCACGCGAGATTCATATTGATGACTTTTAACATATAATAAATGGATAAAGAAACCATCAGCATGTTTGTAATGCACATTGGTTGGCTAAACAACTAACTTGAAGTTCGATCGAGTTCCATGGATGTGCCAATATAGTTCGCCTTCCAAACTTCTAATGCCCTTCGAAAGGAAGGAACCCGCGTTTGAAAAGTACAGGCAAGTCGAGGAGGTATGTCTTGATCTTAGGCTCTTAGCAAAAGCTTTTTCACAATCCTCCCTCCCTTCCATTCTTTCTCCTCTAACCTCTTTCAAATCATACATTCTTACTCGTTCACGCTTTGAAGGAAAGGTACACTTATTTGGAAACTAGAAACTTGTCGATGTCCAAACGAAACTCAATCTTACTTTAATAGACCGCAATGAAACGTGATGTGAGGGATAGTGAAAAGCGAATTATTCTTTGGGTTGGTGCTAATCGATCTACACTTAACCGATGAATTAATATCGATTTTAATTTCGATTGACAAGTCTAGTTGGATTCTAATAACATCTAGGTTGGTGCTAATCACCACAAATACTTAATAGCACTACTCATCATCGTCAATTGAGTAAAGGCTAAGACAACAAAATAATCCGTAAAAATAGAGAAAAGATATGAATGTTTTATTATATTATCTACGTCAGTACTAACTAGTGAATTAGCTGTTTGGCTAATGTTTCTAAATAATCTAACTAGTTTTCTCCACACATTTTTCAAGACCTAAAAGTATGCGTCACTCACTTTTATAAATTTATAATCTAAATTATTTATAAACACTTCTCAACTAGTCGGCGATGAAAAGGGACTTAGTCACCAACTTGCGATTTTGGTTGAAAATGAAGGCATATTCAATAAATTAGATAGAATATAATAATAGAAAAATATATCAAATATCTCATTTTAAAAAATTAAAAATTAAAAGTAGGACAAATAGTTGCTCCAATTTAGCCCCAGTTTGCAAGAGACTTTTTTAGAATAAATTTTGTGATTTTTTTTAAATATATAGTTAAAAAGTATAAAAAAGTTAGGGGTCCACTAATATATTAGTTAATAGTTAGGGAAAAGTAGTTAAATTTACGTTCAAATTAATTTAGTGTGTGTGTGTGTGTGTGTGTTTTTTTTTTTTTAATTTTGAAACGTAGGCAGGACTTATATGTATATTTTTTGGCATTTAGTTGGTAGAATGGTGGTTGGTTCTACATTTCTTTACATTTAAAATGCTTTATCGTCAAACTATGCTCTCCCCCCTATCCACCACAAAAAAAATATCAAGATCATGCAAACAAAAGAAAATAAAAAAATAAATGAATAAAAGACAAAAGAGGATTCAATAATGTAAAGGGTTAAAAATACTAGAGGTCACTCAACTTTGAGTGAAGTTTCGTTTTAGTCATCCAACTTTATTTTGTTCCAAAAGTATCGCTTAAGTTTTAGTTTTGTTTCAATTTGGTCTCCTATAATGATAACTTCAAAAAAGATTGTATTCTCCTAAGTTGTATAAGGATTTTCTTCTAGAGTAATATTATTCATTTTATTAATTAGAGATTATCACTCGTTTAGATAACGGTGATTCGTTGCTGACGAAGTTGTTATAATGCAAATACGTGAATAAGGAATTTATTGCCAAATAGATAGATGATCATATTTGCTAATGATAAATAAAATTATTTACTATCAATGTTAATTGGATCCAATTATACTTTGAAATTCGATTTCCATTTTCACGTTGCAATCAAACGATTAAAGACTTAAAGTGGAATTCGTTTTTTTCTGATGTGACATTTTTCATGAAAAATGTCACAATCAAATAGGTCCTAAGAGGAGTTCACATAAGAAAATCTGTACGAAACTACGAAATGAGGTTAAATTTTGTGAAGCGATGTAAATGGTGACCAAAGTTCGATGACTAAAATTAAATTTAGCTCAAAGTTGGGTAACCGCATTGTATTTTACCCATAATATAAGAGAAGAACCCCACCCCAACTCCCACTCTCCCACTCCCATCAAAGGTTAACTCCATGGGTAGATCATCATCATAATCCTCTTTCTTCTCTCTCTATCTCTTTCTGTAATCTTGATTGAATTGCGTAAAATATTTAGCGAGAAGGGGACGTTTCCTCGTTTTTCAGCTGCTGTTTGTAAGTATTGATCTTCTGACACATTTGATTAAAGCATTTTCACACATATCCATCCACATCTCTCTTTCTCCAAAACATTCTTAGTCTCTCTCTCTCTCTAAAAAAAAAATTCTTTATAGCTCATAGCAGGATCAGTCCTGGCTGCATCAAATGATTTAGAAAGGAGGGTCATATCACTCATGTATTTCATTGTTTGACCACAGGTACTTCTCTCAAAAGAGGGAAAATGGGAAATGGATAGAGATATATACATACATATATTATACATATGTGTTCATATTTAGCTAATGGCTTTCTTGCTGTACTGGGATTCCTTTTTTTTTTCCCCTTAATTTCTTCTTTTGGAATTGTTTGAAATAAAAAAAAGTTATAAATGTGTGGATTATTGAGTGAATAAAGATGTGTATCTTTTTCTCAAAATTTTTAGCCTCCATCTCTCTCCTCTCTTTCTCTCTCCTCACTTTCTTCATTTTTCCTTATCAAGTCAGAAAAAGTTGCATAGAGTCATTGATTTGAGTCTGACACTGTAAAGAAGGTACTCTACTGTTAGTATGAATCTATAGATACACACGACTTTTCTATAGCCAGCAGTTATGGCTTCTCTCTGTGTTTTCAATTTTTCATGTATTATCATGTACTGCATGTCATTTGCTCTCTCTCTCTATCTGGTGAATTCTTGGATTTGATCGAGAAGATACTAACATAATTTTAATTACATATGGTGTCGGAAGGATAATTACATTCAGTCAACCCTCTACAGTTTCTTGAACAGTAACACAAATGATTTAAACCCGATAAGACCACATCTAGTTTCACACAAACTTATACTAAATTTCTTGTCGATGAGTTTTCAATTTGTACGAAAAAAGAGCAACGATTTGGACAATCAACCGAGCTGTTTATTTTGTTGCAGATATTAATTTGGAAGATTGATGGCGACGTATTTTCATGGAAATTCAGAAATTCAGGGGGGTGGTGATGGTTTACAGACACTGATTTTGATGAATCCTGGCTATGTTGGATACCCTGACAATCAACAGCCACAGCCGCCGGGTAGCAACTTCGTTTTTCTCAACTCCAGCACCACCGGAAACTCACTCAACTTACCCCACGCGCCACCGTCTCAAACTCAGCACTTTGTTGGTATACCTCTCCAGGCCACCCCTTCAACCGCCGCCTCGTCCCAAGACCCTCACGCTCCGCCTGTCCATTCCCAGCATGATGTGTCACCCTTTCACGGGTTCTTCCCTCGCGTACCGTACAATTTGTATGCTCCGTCGATGGACGTTACGGCAGGACGTGAAGTTACACGCTCTCAGCAAGGACTTTCCTTGAGCCTTTCTTCCCAGCAGCCATCGGGGTATGGATCTTTTAGACCTGAACATGAGGTGATATCGCAACCACTTGTGACCACTGTATCGCCACCACGTGCTGGCGGCGACGATGTTAGAATTTCGGGAGGGTCGCCGTCCTCGGCGACGGCTTCGGGGATTTCGAACGGTGTGAACAGTATGCAAAGTGTGCTGTTAAGTTCTAAGTATTTGAAGGCAGCACAGGAAGTTCTTGATGAAGTTGTTAATGTTGGTAAGGGAGTTATAAAGAGTATCTCTGAGTCTGCCAAGAACCCTAATGGACAAGCCAAGAATATTGGAGAACAGCCGCCGCCGGCCGGAGATGGACAAAACGGAGGAGACACCAGTGCAAAACGTGATGCTGAGCTCACTACAGCAGAAAGACAGGAAGTTCAGATGAAAAAAGCAAAGCTTCTTAACATGCTTGATGAGGTAAGACACAATTTCACTTGTTTATATAGTCTTCTGACACATCTCCTCGTCTATAATGATTTTTTCATCGAAAGAACGACAATTGCACAGTTTTTAACAGATTAAGCAGAGAAGGAACAAATTTATTTATTCAAATCCATTTAGACTTATGCAATCTATAAAGTGATGATCTGGATGAGTTATTTCTGATTTTGCTGACATGTACAGTGCTGCAAACGTTTGATTTTGAAGTTGAAAACCTTAAAAATCTAATTTAATTTTGATTTTTACAAGCATGAGGTATTCATGTCAGATGTTTTCTTTTCTCTGTCCTGTTTTATAATCTATAAAAATTCATATCGAATCTTTTAATTTTGTTTTTCCATCAAATGGTTTATTGGGATCTTTGTCTAACACGATCTTCGAGGAGATATTCGTGATATATTTGGTTTTCGTAAAAAAATTGTCGTTTTGTATCCTATTCTAAGTTCTACTTGTGAAATTTGTGATTTGAAGGTTGAGCAGAGGTACAGACAGTACCACCACCAGATGCAGATTGTAATCTCATGGTTTGAACAAGCAGCAGGCATAGGTTCTGCAAAGACATACACTGCTCTGGCTTTGCAAACAATCTCAAAGCAATTCAGGTGCTTAAAAGACGCGATATTAGGCCAAATTCGATCTGCCAGCAAGAGTTTAGGCGAAGACGATGGTTTGATAGGGAAGATTGAAGGTTCAAGGCTAAAGTACGTCGATAATCAGCTTCGACAACAGAGAGCCTTACAGCAATTGGGAATGATCCAGCATAATGCTTGGAGACCCCAGAGAGGATTACCAGAACGATCTGTTTCTGTCCTTCGTGCTTGGCTCTTCGAACACTTTCTGCACCCGTAAGTCCTGTCTATAGAACCACTTGGTCTACAAGCTTAAGAGATTGTCAAATCCCTTAAAAATCCTTTTAAAAATGCAAATGGGTATCAAGATTTACTAGTTAATTTTCTTGTTTTTCAGTTATCCCAAGGATTCTGATAAGATCATGCTTGCCAAACAGGCAGGGCTTACTAGGAGTCAGGTATCAAATAGCCCATAAATTCTTGATCATTTTCTGCTTATTTTCAATGGAATTACTAATATTGAGTGGGAGGGAAATTATTTTTCAGGTGTCGAATTGGTTCATCAATGCTCGGGTTCGACTCTGGAAGCCGATGGTCGAGGAGATGTATACGGAGGAGGTTAAGGAACAAGAAAAGATAGGACCAGAAGAAATGACAAGCAAAAGTGAGCAAAATGAAGATTCAGTGTCAAAATCCCCTGTTCCACAAGAAAAGAGGCCTACCAAAGAAAGCCGAAACAAGAATTTCGTTGATAAACAAGAGAATCCCATGAACCAGAACACAAATCCAGCAACAATAATGTCCACGGTCTCGACTTCTCCAACCGGAGCCAGTATCAGGAATCATTCAGGTTTCAACCTAATTGGATCATCAGAAATGGAGAGTATCACTCAAGGAAGTCCAAAGAAACCGCGCAGCTGCGTAGAAATGTTACATTCACCAAACAGCGTCCCATCCATAAATATGGATTTAAAGCCTATTGAGACAAACAATGGGCAAATTTCCATGAGGTTCATGAATGAGAGGCAGAGCAGGGATGAGTTTACATTAATGGGGGCTCCAACTAACTTCATATCGGGATTTAATTCGTATCCAATTGAGGACATTGGAAGGTATGGTGCCGAGCACTTCCAAGCACCGTATTCAGGAAATGGCGTTTCTCTCACTCTCGGCCTCCCACATTGCGAAAATCTCTCCATTTCAGGCACACATCAAACCTTTCTTCCAAATCAAAGCATTCAGCTCCGACGAGGACTTGAAATCGGTGAAGCAAATGAGTTTGGTGGTATGAACACTCCAACATCCCCTCGTTCATCCAATGTGTACGAAAACATTAACATTCAAAACCGGAAGAGGTTTGCTGCACAGTTGTTGCCAGACTTTGTCGCTTGAGCACTAGTCGAGGAGAACAACGGTGAAGACTTGGCGAAATAGGCAAATGTAATGACATCTATAATGGGTACTAAGTCGTCACATATAGGGGTGTCATAAAAGTTACTATAACGATCATATCGACCCAACCCTGTTTGAGATGTTGCCAAGGTATTTGAGGTGGTCTTCTTGTCCTATTCCTTGATTACTAGGAGTAAAGGGATAGCATTATAGTGTAGAGAAGGCAAACTTTTACATATTATAGGTCTATACATTTCACTAGAAATAGGGTTTTAGAAATATGATTGGGGATTGTGTATTAATTTTGTTGCTGCAGATACATAGATTATTGTAATAATGAATGTGGAGTACTAGTTATTTTGGGTGGTATAGAAGAATAATATTAATGAAATTGTCGTTTAGGTGTGTCTAGCTTGGGATTCTCGTTTATTTTAGCGCTTTACTTTCTGACTTTTTCGACACTAGTTGGGATTAAGCATTCCTTTGTACGCAATGAGAAGATCTAGGGTAGAAAGTAGCTCCCCAGTAGCTCAAAGAAAGTCACGCCACGACCTGGGGTTGGCTTGAGAAGGAGAGTCTCGCCTCGTTTTTTTATCCAATTTTCTACACTAAGCATTCAGCTATCGGAGGACAAAGCTGGAACATGGATAACATGGATCGCAAACGAAGGATAACCATGCTAGGATCACATAAGAGGCGATCAAAACGGTACTCAAATCAATTTATGAAACTAAAAGTCCAAATACATTGCACTTCCGCTCAAGTCAAGGCTCGGTCCAAGGTCGTCAAAAAAGAGTTGGAAACCCCTCGCTTCTTTTATATTTTCCAACCATGATTTAATTTAAATATGATTAAGCGGGTATTTGGTTGAAATTAAAATTAGATTTTTAGTAGATTATGATAAAAATTCTTGAAATGTGTGGTTGAAATGTTGTGGGACCCATAAAAGATGTGATTAATATTTGATTGTTTGATTTTGACTTAAATTAAAATCTGAATTTAATCTGATACAAACGTGGTGTAAATTTTCAAAAATATTAAAAAGAATGGCGCAAACTTCAGAATTTTTGCCTCTACAATCAAATTTTCGCGTTTCTACATAATCCCGCTCAAACCCTAAATAGCATTCAAATTTTCCGTTTCCATTTTTCATCAGGAAAAAAAAAAAAATACTAATGGCGGGGAGTGGAGCATCGAACCCACCGAGAGGGAGGAAGAGAGTGGAGGCTGAATCTTCACTTTTTTCTGCTTCAACAAATACAATCAAACGTGCTAAAGATGGAAGTGCTTTTGCCAAATGGTATACAACAAAGATGTGCCAGTAGCGTTAATTAGCTTCCACGACTGTAGCCTTTTCGCTAAAATCAAAATGAGCATAGGTATACACTTTTTTGTTTTTATTTTTTTCATGGAGAACTGGCGGAATTTTATTGATTAAATTACTTAATACAGTTTATATGTGATTGTCCTGTTATTAGGTTGATTTTTCATGGTTTTGAATGGATTAATTCAATTCTATACAGGGGCTCACGTTGTGGAAATTCCTTGTGAGGTCAAGAAAAACCCGGCAGAAGAGTAGGCTCACAGAACTTTGATTTGATCTTTGTGTGTTATTTTGTTTTAATCTTGTCATTATTCTATTGATGAGCAGAAAGAAGGCAAAATCAACAGAAGCAAAAGCGAAGAAGGAAAAGAAAGCCAAAGATCTGAATACACCGAAACGCCCTCCGACTTCCTTCTTCCTTTTCATGTACAATTTCTCTTCCTTTTATGCTTTATATTGCATAAGCCTGAGCATTTTGTTTAATGTTTTTATTTTATTTTAATTATTACTAGGGATGACTTTAGGAAAGAGTACAATGAGGCTAATCCTGACTGCAAGAGTGTAAAAGAGGTAAAATTCATGAAGGCTTTCCAACTATGCGTTTTAATTCTAGGTTTCTATTATGACATGTTCGGTTTCTTGAATATTAGGTTGCCAAGGGGGGTGGTGAGAAATGGAAATCCATGAAAACTGAAGTCAGCTCTTTTTCTCGTACTCATTCCATTGCAGTTTTCTCTAGGAAATTTTAATTACTTTAAAATGTTTGATCTAATGCTAATTTCAATGATCACTAGGAGAAAAAGTTCTATCAGGATAGAGCTGCAGAACTTAAAGCAGAATATGTCAAGGCCTTGAAGTCAGACAAAGAAGAAAATGAACATGTATGTCATTCTTAAGGACCATTTGGTAGGACTTTTGAAAAGTTAAAAACTACTTATAAGATTAAGAAATTGTTTTTGAAAACATGTTTAAATAATTTTTTAGAAGTGTTTTGTCTTACTGGCGAGTTTTTTTATGAAGTTGACTTAACGTAGCTTTCAATGAGCCCTTAAATCAATATGTTTTCTCCTCGTTGTTAATGGTGTAATGTTACTTACAAATATGTTTAGGACAAAAAGGACTCTACAGAGAAGGAAGCAAAGGAGGAGGTAATAGTTGATGATGAATAGAGCGTTTTCCATTTTCATATTCTTATTGTAAATAGTGAAGATGATAGGTCTCTGTTCTGCTTCCAGATTGCTATTCCGCATTGCATTTTGCTACTTGTCTAGTTATGAGAATTTCAATATGAAAGGATTATGCATTTCTCCCATTCATTCAGGCCTTGTAGCACTAGATTCAGCGAGTATGATACTGCTCCATATGTTCAATTACATAATTTTAGAAGTAACATAAGTAACTTGTTCTATACAATTGGCTAACTATCATTTTAAACACCGCGATTGTTGACATTCCAATCTATTCTCGAGTCCATATACATGTGCATTGGTACTTCGATCACCACCACAAAATATAGAGCAACAGACAATGCTTTCGAAAAAGATTTTTAAGTACACCAAAAAGGGTAAAATGTATTCATGAAATATTTTTTATCATTTGACCCACCAATCGAGTAGGATGAAAGTAGATCTTAGTGATCTGACGGTGTTGAATAGTAGGGTTGTCGTTCAATAGATAAAAACTACTCTAAAAGATAACTGTTTTATCTTCTCCAAGAGCTCATATTGACGAAAAGATTTGTCATCTCGATGTTTGCTCTTTGCCACTTGAGATTGTAGTATATTTCAAGGGTTGGGCTTTTTGTCCATTAAAGCAGAAAAGTGAAATTAGAGAATGAAATGTATTGAAGAATGCATGGTATAAATAACTCAATTCTTGATCTTTAACACCCTCCGACACTATGAACACCCCCTCCGGCAAAAGTATCCATTTGTTACTAAATCTTAGGTGTTAGTGTGAATTTCATAGTCAAAAAAGAGAGGCATGCCATATTGCCATATCCGACACGTACGGATTATTTCCTTCATTTTCTTCTTAATTCTAAATTGAAGTAAATAAGAAATTAATTATAATAAATTAAAAGTTTATTGAAATCTACGTAAACGACTTCATTCAATGAGTTAATTATTGTAATATTTGTTATTTGTACTAAAGAACATTTTTTGACGAAAACCGTACATGTCACTTTCTAGAAAAGAAATACATGCTCTGTTTGAGAGGAATTTAGATTTTTCTACAGTAAATCAATTCTCATTTTCAACCACACATTCTTCAATAAAATAATATTTTCCATCACATCAATAATTTTTTCTTCTTTTTCAACCACACATTTCCCATCATATCACTATTCAAGATTCTCTAAATCAATTCTCATTTTCAACCACACATTCTTCAATAAAATAATATTTTCCATCACATCAATAATTTTTTCTTCTTTTTCAACCACACATTTCCCATCATATCACTATTCAAAATCAATTTTTCCTCCAAAAATCCTTCCCAAACAAGCTCATAAAAAGATCAAATAGAAAAAGATGAAAACAGACATTAGTAGACTAGAAAAGTCCCAACTATTTTATCATAATAACTAGAAATAACATTGATAACAGTTTAGATTTTGTTTTTTTTAGTAAAAAATACACAGTGCAACTTGAAATTGCAGTTAACAGCAATCATATAACTAAATGGAAGAGCAGAACTGGTTTTTTTACATAGTTAATATACAATTCCTGCCAAAAAAAGGTACTATAACAGTACAATTCCAACTCAAAGAACAAAATATAAGCCAGAGTGAATCATATCCAAGCAATGATAGTCCATTCACATCCCAACTACATTCTGTAGTTTGATTCTCATGGAAACGCGTTCGATTTGATATTCCAGAAGACTGAAGAGAATGCACCGCAATACCACTATAAATGGCCTAGTTGCTCCTGGTAAACCACAAGAGGAAAATATTCAACCGGGGCAAAATGCTATACTTCCACTATTACAAATTCTCCTTAGACAGAGGATGACGTGAAACTTAAAACAAGAAACCCGATTTTGCAACCAGTTTTCAGTTCCGTTAAAAGGGAAGAAACATATTTCCAACTTTAACAAGAAAAAAAGTTATATACTTTTTAAACTTAAATGTAAACTTTCTAAACTTAGCCAAGCATGCTCTTAGGAGAAATGAATCAACTATGTTGAATTATCAAACCTGCAGCATTTGCATCAACTTAGGATGTTCTTCCAGAAGCTGACAAAGTTTATCACGATCGCTCAACAGAGACTGAATCAGGTATGAAAAATAACGATCAGAACGGAGTTTATTACCAACCCGGACTAGTACATTGTATAAATTGTGCCTGAGCATGCAAAGTATGGTACCTGAATTGCTTCTGGGGATTTAAAGTATTCCTGCAACGACATTCCAGAATCTTGTTGCTGGGATGTGCCATCCGCTTGCTGATGCTGAACTCGTGACTGCTCAACTTGTTGCGATGAATGTGCAGCATTATCCTGCTGTAGGGTCTGATAGTACATGTGGGCAGGAGAGAGTTGGGGCACTTGTAGGGGACTTTGCAACACAGACGTGCCTTGCTCCTGCAGGGAAGCAGGAATGGATGGCCGCAGATGCTGTGGTGGCGGGCGAGGAATTTGTGGTGGCTGTAGTGGCTGCAACTGAGTAAGGGGCGGTATGGAGTGAAATGGAGGAAGAGACATGGGAAGGTTTTGCGAAATACTAGGTAGGTTTTCTCCATGATGTGGAACTAAACTATTCCCATAAAAATTGATAGGTACGGAACCGGGCCTGAAATGCAAGGGTTGTACTGAAGGAGGCGGGGGATAAGAAGTTAGCATCGTCCGTGATGCCGAAAGGTTGCCTAATCCAGTACCCATTGAAGGTGCAACAAGGTTTTGCTGAAGCTCGGAACTACCAACAGTTTGAGTGTACATTGGAGACTGAGAATTTGGATTTTTAAATGAGGATATTGCAGAAGGGTTAGATGAATATGGAGGTGGTGTAGGAGGAAGAGGAGGTAGCGGTCTACTCGATCTGCCAGGGGAAGAATGGGACTTCTGTCCGAATCTTGAATCAGGCAAAGGACTGGAAGTTGCCAGTGAGGAATTGCTAGCCAAAACAGACAGATATTCTGACTGAACCTGCAAAAGTGAGAGAAGATGGGTTATTCAACTTGGAGGAAAGATTAACTGCAGGCTGCACATCTGCACGCAGAATTGAAAATTGAAAATGGAAAAAGGCTGACTTACAATGGTATCTGTAGTTTGAGATAATACAGGTGAGACTGTTGGAGGAGGTGGCATTGGAGGCAAAGGTGGCTGATTTAATGGATTTTTTTTATCGTAGAATCCTTGAGAACCACCACCACTTAAAGGTACAGTTCCACTTTGTGGGAAATTTGCTTGCGAATAGAAGGCAGGAGGCCTAGAGCCAAAAGCTAATTGTCCAGTTGAAGAGGGAGTGTTTGCATAGACTTGAGTAGAAATTCCAGAACCACTAGCTCCAGCAGGAGATTCAATCCTAGGTGTTTGGACTGGAAAACTCTTCACGTCCTCTGACTGATCAGGAAATTTTCTACCCGAAGAAATACTTGGTTCTCGAGTCAATGGCATCTCTTGACGAGATGCAGACATTCTTGTAGAAAATTCACTTGGCATATTTTCATCCATATTTGAAGCTAATGGTGTACTCAAGTGAGAAAACTGACTACCTTCATTCACATCAGCACCTGTCTCCTCAACTACTGAATGAGGAGAACTGTGCTTGACTACAACAGAGGGAGACTGCTGTAGATGGGCATCCGGTTGAGGAAACATCAGTTTATCATCAGGTTCAGATTCAGATTCCTCGGCATCAAATACAATATCAATTCCCTGTAGATCATCATCAAGATCAGGTTTCAACTTCGGAGGTTTACTGAGCTTCTCGGCATCTGCGTTGTTATCTGGTACTGTTGCTTGCACCTGTGCTGTTGTCTCGGTACCTGTGGATCCCACAGAATTTTGGCGCTCCCTCTGTCTGGCCATGAATTCGTCCACATGGATAGATGGTGGTCTCCCACTTGTAGATCCTATCCGTGGGACAGCAATTACATTAGAATTTGTACCATCAGCATTTCTTTCTCTCGCAACATAGTCATCCACGTGCATAGAAGGAGGCCTGCTAGTATTTGGCTTACGTTGTCGAAAGGTATCCCTACGAGTAGGGCCAGAGGGGGCAGCAACAGGTCCCGATCCCCTAGAGAATGTACTTTGTGTGATGGCCTCAGCTGCAGCATTGTCCCCTCTGGCACGCCTATTTGGTCCCTCCAATGAAGAGATCTTTCTTTTTGCAGGAAGAGCGGTCTGTGCAAGTCTATCTCGCAGAGTTTCAGGATATTCCCAAAAAAACTTGTCTCCAAATTCATCCAAGCTGTAATCCTCCATCCGTTCTATGCTGCTGTTTGCAATTTTATGCACCCTCGAAGGAACTGGAGCAACAACTAATGAGCTTGGGAGACTGGCAATTGTAACATCCTCATTCACTGTATCAGTTGACTTTTGCAACAGAAGTATTAATGAGTTTGCAGACTCCTTAACCTGCACATCCATTATAGTATAATTGAGAGAAACAAGGGAAGGAGCTAAAATAAGGGAAGGAAAATGAGAAACTGTACCTCGTACAGAGTAGGGGGCACATCCCCTGCAGCTGAATATGTATCATTGCTTATCTCTGACTCTAACAGATTTGCAAACTCCTCGATCTGGTTCATGCTCTCTTCAATAAAACCATCTACAGAACTCCCATCCTTAATTCTGAAAAAGAACTTGATAGCAGCCACCCTCTCCAAATTGAAGCTAAAAAAGAAACAATACAGTTTGCAATTTACTTCATGCTATATTGAGAAAATCAATTTTCTAAATCCTACCTCGTAGAAGTTGATTGACATAAATTAAATTAATAAAAGAAAATCTAGATTATGAAAATGAAACGAGTTGGCCAATAGAAATGAAAATATATTTCATAGATAGAAAGTTGAGATACTCTAGATAAAATCACATGATGAGACAATAGAATAGAAGCTCCTAGATGACCTCACAGTATTAATGGAGAAATGTGTGTGGTTGTTGCTAATAACAAGGATAAAGATTTCACAGCAAACAAATATTTTACCTTACAGGATAGAGTATCAGAAAACCCCTTACACAAATTTCAACATGTCCAATCTCAAGCCAACAGAAACTATAGTTGCAACAGGTTGACAGCCAATATAAAATTGTCACATATATAATATAACATGAAGCCTTCACAGATTTTTCTTGGAGCGTCTACTACTAGAGATGCACCACATCAGATGCCACATGTAGTCAAAGTGGCTTAGCAAGGGTGTAATGCATAAGCAATGTGGCACATCAAAGGTTTCGAGGAGTAAGCATTGGTTCTCAAGCACTAATGCTAGAGGTGTAAAGAAGTTAATGCAAGATATAGAATAGGGTAGAGTAGAAATTTCAAATTCCAAGAAACAATAAAATCCTTAGAACCAGTACATCTGCTGATAGGAGGAACCTTATAACATGCACACAGATGTATGAAAAGGAGAGAAGCTGATACAGGATGCGGGATAGAAACTTCGGTATAAGGGAAGGAAAGAAATAGAAATATTGTAGAAACAACAACGGAACTGAGTTTACAAAATGAAGAAGTAAAAGGCAAATGTATTGGAGTTAAAGGTTATATTAGTTAGGCTTATATTAGGAGAATAGGTGATTAGCATCATTAACCAAAATATTCTACAAATAGGATTAGACAAGGCAAAAAGGTATTGGAAGGACAAGAATAAGTTTCTAGTCAAGTTGTGGTTTATATTAGAGGATAAACTTCTTTCCTATGTGACTCTTATTGAATGCTTCCCCACTTTCAAAAATTGGCTTTGCCTTGAGATCTTAGGGCATACACGCCTAAGCTTAAAAGGTCCTCAAAAAAAGAAGTGTTTTAAGCACCTTATCTACATACTTTCAAAGAAGTACTTTTAAGCACCTTTTAATCTTAGCATAACATGCTATTAGAGTCCTTATAGGCAGTCGTTTTAAGAACTATAAGATTGCTAAACCGGAAGCCAAAGGTTGTTTCTGATTTGTCAACCTAAGCAAGGGAAGAAGGTTGCCCCGGGGGCATGGAAGTTCCAGGGTTCACGGGTGGTCTGTGCCCCTGCGAGATGGTGGAATTTATCTCTTAACACGTCCTCGCAAAATGGTGGTTTGCTTGAATAGATCAATCTTGAAATCAGTATACTCGTTTTGGAGTCTTAATAAGATCAAATTGCTCGTTTGAGCTTATTGAGCTCTTTATCATGTTAAGACTTGAAATTTCATCCTAAAAGACTACCTTATTAAGAAGAACATCCCAAGCCTTTACATGTTGGTCTCCATTTAGATAATTAGATGATGTGGGATTTATCTCTTAGCAAAATTCACCAAGCAAAGGTTTTCGACACGTCAACACGGAGTCCAAAGCTTGAGTGCGAGATGATGGGCTCTTAAGGACATAACCCAAACTTAAACAAGTAGAAATTAGCACTAGCTTGTTCAACCGCGTTTAACCTTACATTTCATTTAAGTACAGCCTTGTTATCAAGGAGATAATGCAATATGTTAAAACATCATAACAGGACTAGAGAATGACATATTAGAGAATAGATTTATAGATTCAAAAATTTATAAGCTGAAATTTTGAATTATAGTTGGCAGAAAATCTTTAGGGTAACGTAGAGAACAAAAAGAAATTTCTGAACAAACCTTTCCCCGTCCATGCAAAAGCGTAATGCTCCTGTGCATAATGTAACAATAGCTGAAGCAGTATGTACTGGAGAAATATCATTCGAGGCAATCGACCTCACTAAAGTAGTCCAGCAACATAACAATGGAGGATGCTCCCTCCAATCAGATACATCAATTAGATTGTATCTTCCATCACTTTCATGTCTACTTTGGGACTCAGAAATCTCAATGCCAGAGGAACGACTGTGCATAAAAATCGACAGTAAAGCACTCTGGCCTTCAGCAGTGGAACCCATTTCTTTGAAAGCAGACAGACAGGTAACTAATTCTTTTCCAACAGGCAAAACCTGCAATTGAAGTGTAAAAAAAAAAAAAAACAGAAGGATTAAATAATATCAATGGGAAGGCAAGACGTCTAAAGAAAACTTTTCGAATTCGGAATATGCAGAACAACCTTGAATCCCATACTCCAGAAGAGTCAAGGAAAGCCTATATGAGAATGATCACTTGAACAGTGCAAGAAAATAAGGAATCATCTGTATAAAAAAATGGGAGAACAAAAACAGCATATTCCCAAAGATGATGCTGCACAGTTCCTCAAACTACATCCTTCTGATATGAGATTGTTAATTTAGCCATTACTTGCTCAAAGATCTTAACAGTTTTGATAAAGCATTGGAGCCTCAAGATCTACCATGTCAAAGTAACAATAATGAGACCACAACCCATATACAGTAATGGCGAAAAACTCAAACTCTCTATAGGATGATATTCATTCCAAAGATTCTGCAAAAATTATTATTCAAGTCAATGAAATGCAACCTAATACTAAAATTCATCATCCATTTAACATCCATGTAAGAATCCAAGTTAAAATGTTTACATCATTCCTTCTCTTACAATGAAAACACATGTTCCTTTAGACACCAGCATCACAACCGACCGATAGATTCCTTATTAATTGGCTATCTTGGGTGTGAACTACTGACAAGTTAAAGGATTGCATATTCTTTTCAAACCAAAAAAGAACTTAGCCATTGATTAATTTTAACTTTTATTCAATCAACTGTCTTCTGCCCCACTGGAGAAGCCATAATCTGGTTTCATTCTCTGCATCTCACTAAATCTCTGCAGGGTGGTCAAAATTACGCTAATTCACACTTATGACCAAGGAGCCAAAATTTCTTCCCAAAATATAGAGTTTGGATTAAACACAAGCATCTTTTGATATGCACAAACTCCCCCATTCTTTCTATTGGCAAGCGATATCCTTAGAAAGTGATAGATTACATCAACTGCCAGTTATTCAAATAAACACAAACAGCCGAAAGTCCGAAATATTAAGAACACACATGCTGACACAGTCTTCAAAAAAAAAGGACACGTGCACGACAGAAATAAACCTAGACTCAGTAAAAACAAGAATTTAAAATATATGTTAGATTAATACAATTATTATAATAAGAATTTAATACAATTTCAGATAGTGGATGTTAAATTAACACAGTTGTTACTTTTTTTTCCATACGCGTGGTGACAAACCCAGGCATGCTTTAGGAATTGTGAATTTTCCGTGGGACATGTCAACCACCCATCTATCTCTGACTCTCTCCATCATCACCTCTCAGAAGTTAAATTAATGGAAACTTCTTTCGATTTCATTTTCATTTTTCAGGTTAGTTTCTCTTTTGGGTAACTTTTGTTTTGGTCATTTTGAAATGGATTTGTCGTGTTGGCACCAATTCGGCAACATGACCAGACTTATTAAAAAAAAAAAAAGAAACAAGAAGAAAATCACACACCACCTAGAATGCCCAATATGTGTTGGACACTGGCAATCCCGCTCCTGTGGCGTGTTAGAGCTTTTTAGTATAACATAAAGGTTTACTGAAACAAATGAACAATCTCTAATGTTAAAAACTACTAACAAAAACCAGCTCAAAAGCTAATTTGCAAGGTTTTGTGTTTTACAACGAAGAACTAGTTATCAACATGATGCAGATACACAAATGAGAAATATACCATGGAAAATTTAAGGAGGTAGGACAAAAGTTCGATGCATTCTTCAGCAGTCAAACTCTCACGAATGCACCTGGAAAACACAAAATAATTCATGTAAGCATGATCATAAATCTCTATCCATGCAAAAGAAAAAAAGAGTAGTTGCATTAGATGAAAGCTCTTTAAAACATTTTCTAACCTTCCATTAGCTCCAGCATATTGCACAGAAGCTCGAGAATCACTAATTAAAGAGATAGACTTAAATATGGGTATACACCAACTAAGCAAAGAAAATTCATCTTTAGCCACATTTCCGTTTTCTGGGAACAGTTTTACATCCGAGTTAGTGGCACTAATACACCTTTCGAGCACTTTCGTGAGCATCTGAACATAACCCTCCTTCAGCAATAATGACTGACAAGGATAATAAAGATAATGAGAGAATAATATTGTAATTGTAAGCATTTTAATTAGACGTGTTGAATGGGGAATTTTTGTAAGTTAAACACCACCTTTCCATTTGGATGTTCCAATAAGCTACCAAGAAAACTCAGCAATCGAAAGCCCTGAATGGAACCACAAGAAAGGGTAATGCCGAGATGATAATTATGTAAAACTAACTGAAATTTGTGACACGTGAGTTTATTATGACCTTGTAAGCATCCACATCAGACAATGTCAACGGTTCTGAAAGGTGATGAGAGATCCACGATATGATAGGTTGAAGCAATACTGAAGCATTATCGATATTTAAGTTTGCAATACGGATTATGAAGACCCGCAGCATATCTTGTATGACGATTGATGTCTGATACGTGATAATAACACAATCAGAGAGAAATACTAAACATAAAGTAAGGCTATGAATACAATCAGAGAAAAGCATAACGAAAAATAAGACATGTTTGACAGACCACCACACCAGAAGTGAAGAACATCAATCTGAAGAAAACGGAAATAACAAATAAAGAAAAAGGTATGATAGAGAATCACATACACTGATAGCACAATGCAGAACAACTTCTGCCAGCTTCACAAGCTGTGGTGACAATTGACAAACCAGCTTCTTGGGGTGTCCAGAAAGTAAATACCAGTTGATCTGTTTCTCTTTCTGAGATCCCAACAATGTCCCTACAGACAACGACCTGAGGGCAGTCAACATTGGCACTCCATTCTTCCACAGCCAGATACTTTCATCTGGAAACAAGTCATTCTAGAGAGCCAGAGAATGTAATGAAGAACTGCGTCAAACTCATTTCTATCATCAAATCATTATTTATTGAAAGAACAATGCAATAGGAAGGTCCAAATACCAGTAGACAAAGTAAACTACAGGTTTCCTTTGGGCCCAGTGCCAGTAGAGAAGTTGTGTGAAGATTGTCGAAGAGGAAGTGAAAAAGGCCAGGAGTCCAACCATACACTGGCCAACAGGCTAGTGCTGATGCAAGAAGATGGCATACAGCTTCAAAACCAAGTGCAGAATCGGGGCAAGGATAACATAAGTCTGCAGCACATGCTGCTAATTTGGGGCTGCAAATGGAAGAAATCATTCATTACTCCACAGACTGTATTCAACGAAATATGAGAAATTCCATACTACCTCACTTCTCGATGCAATTGTAGAAGGGCGTTCATTAGCTTTGTATTCCTGTGTTGCTCCTTGGCTTCCTACAGGTGGAGCAAGAACATGTCTCAATACAATCAGCTTAAATGGCAGAAGAGCCACATCAAGTGAAGCTATAACAGACCCCGGAAGGTAAACCGTGTCAGAAAACTCAGTCTGTACCCGGGCTTGCATAAAAGATAAGAAACATAATTTTATCAACTATGAAAGCATAGTTCCAAATGTTAATGAAGAAGGCAATCATTTTCACACAAACGATTGTGATTCCGGCATGATGTTTGAAAACATTAAGTAAAAGAGAGATTCTTACATCACTTTCCTAAAATAAAATAATTTCGAACAAGAGAAATGATTGTTTCCGATAACACACACAAAAAACACCCATCATAATATAACAAATTGTCAAGGAAATTTTTGAAAAGAAACTCTTTTCCTCTATCTCCTAGATTAAGGTTGAGCAAAACAAAGTGTCTCATTCTCAAACGAAATAACAGTAAAATCAACAATCTCTTGCTAGTGTAAGAAATTATACAATCACCTCATCTCCAGATCAGAAGAGCATTTATCCGCAGTTTTCCTCAATGAATCAAGCAGCTACTTAAGCTAAGGTAAATTACCTTTTACTTTTCATTATTTTATATTTTTTTCAAAGGGAATAGAAGGGTAAACTACTCACCATACCATAATATTGGTTAGCACTAAACTTGAGCATCTGTATTGCATAAACCTAGATCAATTACTATTAAAAACATCTATGCACATGCAAAAACCTAACAATGAATAGAAATCCAGTCCAAAATGAGAAATTCAGAAAAAAACCATCACCACTAACCTTCAACCTCTGCAACAGATTAATCAGGAGGACCAAAGATGGAATCAACAGGTCAACGAGGCTCTTCTCACGATTACGTTCCAGCAGTAAATCTGAAGTTGTATTGCCCTCTGTACCCTCGTCAACTAAATAATCTGCAAAAGACGAGAAACCTTGTTTTCAGTCTTCACAAGCGCTGAAGATTTGACATTCCTTTATTAGTCAAATCCTTTATAAGCTGGACATGAGAAATATCTTCGCACTAGCCTGAGGGGGAGTGTTGGAAAATTTGATTTTCCTTGTTCAATCAATTCCTAGGAAGGCTGGGGTTTTATTTGTCTCCTAATTTAGAAGATAAAATCGAGTTGTCTTCTTCTTTGCATAGCCCCATAGAACATATTATGGTAAATCTTTATTGGTCAAATTAAGGTAGGTATTTATAGGAAAGATTATGGTAGTTATACAAATTCTCTTAGTATTTTCGTCTCAACTCATTCTACTCTGTAATTTCTGATAAGAAAAAATCGGCATAATGTACTAAATAGACCACAACCAACTTCCTTCATACATTTGCTTTTAAAAAAAAGGTTCCTCCATGCAAAAACAAAATATTGCACAAAAGAGAAGTTACTGATATAGAAATACTGCAGTAAAATGAATAACTTGTGAAGGGTCAAGAGATGGCAAGAACATTCATATTAGTAATTCATCACCAAGACAACCACTACATCACCGAACACACACATTCACGAGGCATCTCAACCACGATCGCAATGCAACATCCAGTGTTTCCATTTGATTGTAGTCACCTCCGGGGTTCTTCACACCTGGATAGTACCAGGACCCTTGTGCCCCAGCCTTGATCAGAGAGAGCTTCCGTCAATGCTATAGCTCCGAAACTACCACTACAGCCAGCACAGCTCCGTGTGTGAAAGTGCATCTTGTGTCTTTTTAGTGTTGTGCTCTTACCCGGATTTTTTATTTGAAAAATCGCGTTTTGATCTAAAGAATGTGCTGAGCGTGTCTTTAAAATAGCCCCGATCATAGATTTTCTGTCTAAAAGCAATGTCACACACTCCTTTAAGGACGCCTGAGTGTGAGATCAGATCCACATGTACTACAATGTCTCAGTTTAGAAAAGGAATCAAAATACTTGGAGACGTTGCTGAGCACTTTCACTAACACGTCTTGGAAAATATCCATGACTGAAATGAACAGAAGACTTGTACCTCTTGACCAAAGATGTTGCAAACAGGAAGTTAATGTGCATTACCATTTTACTTCCCCAGTATCAACAACAAATCCACAGATTATTCCAAGCCATATACGATTCGAGAAATGCTATTAACACGTCGGTGATAAAGCAGTACTCAAAATTAGAAGATTATGTAGCATCTGCATCCCAATTATCAAATGGACAGAATAAATGCATGTATTTACAATGATTACGATCAGCAATATATGGTGAAGCAGCAGGCTGCTCTTTAACATGGAGGAAAATATTAAATTTGAGGTAATTCATATGACCAGCAACTAAATATAGATTTGACACTAACGGATCAACTGATAGTGGTANGGTATGATCAATGACCTATCGTACCTTCACGAACAAAAAATTCTGCGAGGTTTATGAAAAACTTGGTACCAAAAATGTTATTGCCAACACCAGCAAGAATTCATACTAACCATAAATGTTGGATGCCCTTTCAAGCACGAGTTTACAGTTGATCATTACAGCATGGATAACCATGACAGCGCCTTCATTGTAGAGAGCAGCAGCAACATCCTAAACGGCTCAAACAAGAATTAGCCAGAAAGATCTCCTACACATGTCATGCAGCATTACAGAATTAATATAAAATTTCTTACCATATTATCTGAAATAAATGCCAGAATTCGAAATGCCGTCGTCAATTGAGCAATAGAAGAATCACGAAGAATGACACCAACAAAATCCTTCTCCATAATACGTTTTCCAAGTAAATTATCAATAATGTTACCATCAGAATTGCTGGAAGAATCTCCAACTACATTGTCAATATCCATCACATCAGATGCTAGAACACTATTTGTGGCCATATGAGCATCCCTTCCAGAAGCCAACACGGCAGCATAGCGTAAGAGACCAATAGCCCCATTTCTCTGGTAAACTACCCCGGCATCTATCCACTCAAGAAGCCGTGCAGGTGCATCTTTCTTGTTTGACCCTGGTGAGGGGGAATGTAATACCCTGTGAAGTTCCTTAGCATGATCTATCCAAGATGCTAAAGAAGACGCAGTCGAGTCAGTAACAATAACTTCAAGAATCTCGACCGCTGCATGAAAGATTGCAAGACTTAACGGTGATACTCCTGCAACTGGATCAAGTTCCCTTCCAGAATGCAATGCAGTCATCAAAATTGAAAGAGCCTGCAGCAAAATTAGGAGATAAAGTTCATTATAGTTAAAAATTCGAACACTCTACCATTCAAGATGATGTAAAAACGGCAAGAATCAGAAAGAGAAGACCACAAATTTCATCCACTAATCAGATGGGTTCCAATCACCCCAAATAAAACAACTGATATTGCTAGTTCATGGTTGCACTAACAGTAACAATTACATAAATCTCAGTTTTAATTAAATATTTAGTGAGGCACACTGGTGTTACTCCAAAGCCACAGGCTATGTTCTACATTGTTGAGAAATATTTCAGAATTTCCATTACAAGCTATATTGGTATTGCTCATGCTATACCTCTGGAAAATTCACCAAAGCCAACAGAGCCTGTCGTCCACACTCGGAGCTGAAATACATCATAGAAATGTTGGTCAAAAGACTAAAGATAATGCAAAATCCACATAAATCCAGCCTTTAAATAAATCAGTGTTACCGTGAAAGGCGACAAAGATCCCAGAGAACCCATAGAAATTCTTCAGTATCTGGAGCCAATGTAAGTAAATTATCTATAGCATTTATCTGCAATAAGAGCATAGGAAAATGCAAATGGTTGGAAATGAAGCCTATAAGAAGAATATGAAAATATACTAAGAGCATATTTGGCTAAGCTTCAAAATTTTGCTTATAAGTAAATATGTGTTAAAATACATAACTTATATTATAGGCTAAAGTTGAAACTTAAGCCCTTGTTTGATCCCCATTTTTTCCAAAATTCCTTTTCACCTACATATTCTTCAATAAAATAAAATTAACGCAAAACCAAAAATTTTCCTTATTTTTTAACCATACATTCTCCATCAATCTACTATTCCAAAATACATTCTACACCAAAAATTGGCTCAAACAGGCCCTAAGTCAATTATTTTAACAATAACATACGAGTTTACCTCCAAAAAATAATTTTTTCAATTAAAAGTACGAAAAAGTATGTTATCCAAACATGTTTGGGGACAAAAATTTGTATGTACATCCACATTTTTTAGGATTAGCCAATTGTGCTCTAAGATGCATTGAGAAACAAGAAAAAAATAAAAACTTCATGTAAATCAAGAATGAGAAAACTGAAATCAGAAAATGAAACCTTGAACAAAAAATGATTAAGAAATGGAACTGACCGCCCTAACATGCATCTCGATGATCACACTAACTTCCTGTGGGCGACAAAAAAAATTCTTCGATATCAGGACATAGGCATACCGAAGAGATATGGAGTCTTCCTTCCTAACATCATCTACACCCCGCAAGGCATGAATGATCATACTGGAGACTTCGGGATCATGTAGAAGAAAAGTTAATCCTGACAGAAGAGCAGGCAAAATAAATCACTAGAACTCACAAATTAATATTGTTATGCAGTGAAGGTAACAGCCTTAAAACCTGAGCGACAAAAGAGGAGTGAGAGTATTGTAGCTTCAACATGTGATACAATATCTAATAATAAGTCCAAAGCATGCCCAGTTTCAGATCTCAAAATAGAAGATGACAGCAAAGCAGCTGACAAAGGAAGGAAGCCCCTCTCCTGCTTGCAATAAAACAGAGAAATTAATTGTACAGCCAAAAAAAAGGTAATCAGACAAACTAGAAGAATGAACGCAAGGAAGAGAAGAAAAATGTACACCATTTTTGTGGTTAGCAAACAACATGGATCACAGGAAGATGCACTGTACAGCAAAAGTTTCCTCATGCCAGAAAAGAGTGAAATGACAAAGCTGCTTATATCTAAAAAATTTGAAAGTATAAAATTTTCTCGAGACAAAATTAAAGTTTTAAATTATTTGAGACATTATTTTTAGATCTATAAATTATTGATATTATAAAAACAATTGTTACAGACAATATTTACATTCTAATTTTATAAATTTGTATATTATAGAATTTCTGAAAAAATGATAGTATTCCCGTTTTTGTTATGTACAAACCACACAAGTCATCAACCAAAAGTTTATGATTATTATATATTCATTTTCGTCTTAATTAAGCCCCTGTTTGGCCCCCATTATTTTGCATTTTTGGGGGCTGAAAATTTTTAGAATAGTGATTGATGGGAGAATGTGTGGTTGAAATGAAGGGAGGGAAAAATTTAATGTAATGTAATGTAATTTAGTGGGGGCCAAACAAGGGCTAAAAATCATTCTCTCCATACATAACAAAATCCATGAAGTAATTGTTTGATTTAAAAAATCCAATAAAATGTTGAATTATAATTTTTTCCAAACTTTTTTAGATGACGATATATTAATATATCTTGTTATACATAAGTGAAAACTAAAAGCATGTTTGGGAAGTGTTTATGAATGGTTTAAATTATAAATATATAGAAATGTGTAGTGTATAAGTTGGTAATATTTGTGGGTCCACGAAAAGTGTGAATAAAAAGTTGTTTGACTGATTATAAATAGTTTAAAACATTAGCCAAACATGGGCCTAGTATTATTGGTCCCATGTAAGTCTGCTAGCCTTATAAGTTGGAGGTCTAAGGATCAAATCCCTTGTCCTCAAAATTGCAAAATTAAAATTTTGAAAACCTGTGAAAAACCGGGCTGGTTGACATGGGTTTGTCAAAAACCGTCGATTTACTGATTCTAGACTATGTCAATTGCAGTCTGGTCACATAAGCCCACCAGGCCCAGGTCACCAGTTTTCCGACACACGACTGGCCGGGACAGGTTTTATAACTATGGTATTAGGAGGAGGGTAAAACATTAGGAAATGGTCGTCAAGATTCTCCAAATTCATGGATTTTGAAGTAGGACCGAAGCATGGAGTGCAAATCTAGCACCGAGAACATAAACTGAAGTGCCACATAATAGAATAAGTGCGAAAAGGAATAGACATAGGAAGCAAACATCTTGCCAATAGATGCAAGACCGAAAATAGCATTGTTGTTAAAACCGAACCAGAATGGCCAGTTCAACAAGAAAAAACAAGAAGAGGTCCGGAAACTAGTTCAGTTTTAGGTGAAAAACCAGAAAATTGCAAACCAATAAAAGAAGTCAAGAACTACCTTTCAAAAAAAAAAAAAAAAGTCAAGAACCTCCAGTTCAACTTAAATTTTGTTATTTATTTATTTATTTTTTGTTATTCTTTTTACTATTGTATCCTCGACCATTTACTATTTCTGGGTCGATGCCCAGAAAAGTTTTTAGAACACTGGTAAATAGATATTTCACAATACATGCTTCAGAGCATCACCAACATTGTAACCAGAAGAAAATAAAGGTCATACTAGGTCATTGTATTGTGCGTGCGATAGAGAATAGACCCTCTCATGCTTACAGCTGAAATAACTACAGCTCTAATGTGGCGATGCTTGAAAATACAAGAATTTGACATGTATCATTATTTTTTCATCATCATCAATATCTACTATTTAGTTTACATTGGATTGTAAATTCCTTCCTTATGGGGTTACACACACCTTTGGATCATGACGTGATGCAGGAGCTTAAACACAAATTAAAGGATGTAGCCGCACGTGATGCGTTACAGAAACACAAGTACAACAGCATACCTTGAGAAGGGAAAGCAAATGTGGGTCTATGTCCCAATTTGAAAAGCAACTATTTGAGAGTTTAATCAAGCCTCTTGTTTTGCTATATGGCAATACTCCAGCATCACCGAGGATAAAATATCTGCTTGCAGAAGCCATCGGAGAAGGGTCTTCAATTGGGCCACGCAAATTTATCAATTTCTGAAATAATACTTGTCAACGAATACGCACTAAGAAATTATCATATTTCATATAACCACTCAATGTCATGAAATACGAATTAAGAAACCAGCATAATTCATATGAGCAATATTAGAGAATAACTTGCATGCATCCAAGCGAGCAATATATTACACTGATAACTATGCTAGAGATACAGCTTAAAATATCATATCATATTATATGACATATACCACGAGCTTTTTAAGTTGCGCTTTAGCACTGGCAAGCATGTCCAATGTGAAATTTGTAGCACGGCCAACTGAAGAAATAACCCCAAGTGCAGATACCATTGCACACTGCAAGGTAGAATTACAACATTTTTTATTAAGTAACGCAAATGATTTCAATTAAGCTGATTTAAGAAATTTTCTTCCACAAGCGCACACAAAAGTTCCCCAGCTCCCTCCCACTCCAATAAAACAAAACAGCAGAACCAGTCACATGCATAGTGGAAAGGTGAAGCATGTACCTCATATCTGCAAGTAACTTCATAAAAACGCAGACGATGAAGTATGTAAGTTGCAAGTGAAGCAATATCATGCTTCTGATTCTGCAACAACAACTTCAATAACTGATTATAGCCATCACTAATACCAGAAGGGACGCTTTCATCTTCTCGAGGCCACCATCCTAGGAACCCTTCACAGCCAATTGAAAGCCGAGTAGCCTGCTCAATAACTCCAAGCAACAAAATTGTAATAGTAGTAGAATTCTGAGTCCTGTGGGTGAAAACATATCCAAGCTGCTTCATACCACCATAATTAACAAAGTGAAAGCAGCTCTCCCTAGCAGAGCACAATAAAAGAGCCGCGCTCAACAACATTATGGTGTTCCTATTCTGAAAACAAAAAAAAAAAACAAAAAAATCAGTACTTCCACATTTCAAATATTTTGACTTCTGTGTGAGAAATAGAAAGAGATGAGAGAATTGGTTTCACCTCTCCGTTAGATCTGTGCTACAAAATGCAAACAGATGCCACAAGAATAAAAAAAGAAAAAGAAAAAGGCCTGTTACCTGTGAAAGTTCAGGATATCCAACATTTCCTGAGTTTCCACAAAAATCGAAGTGTTCATATAAAGTGTCCACCAACTCTTTGGAAGTAGGAACCTCATATTCAAAACACAAGCTATCTGAACCTCCTGATTGATCTCTAAGACTTTTAAAAACATCTGAAAGTTCCTTCCGGGCTTCAGTAAGAACATGATGAGCCTCGCCGCCACTTTTCAATATAAATACACCAAATCTCTTCTTATCAATAGTATCATACGACAGGTGAGGAGTTGCATAAATTGAGGCCACTGATAACAGGGAACTAAGAACTTTATCAGCTGCTGCCCCAAGGTTTGGAGACTCCAATATCTTAAAAGCTAGATGCAGAAATTTCTTTATTTCAAGAGGAATATCCAATGCAATAACTGTCTGGGACAATATTTTCAGGGGAAGCACAAGTTCCTCAATTGTCGGTTTCATGGGACGAAATGCAGGAGGAAGGTCCTCAAGTTTTCCCTCAATAGCACTAACATTATCTGTCAAAGAGCCATCTAGGTCAACTTCTATGTTGAATTGGCCTAAATCTTCAGCTGTGTTCCCGTATATAACCATACTTAAGCTGCGATAGCTGCCCCTTATGACCAGATGGTTTGTCACCACAGACTGCAAAGCGATAACAAAGAGAACAAGTAATTAAAAAATGAGGAATCACAAAATGAGCATAATTTTATATAAGCAAAATGCATGCGTAGGCTAACTGAAAGAGGTCAAAGATTTACAAAAGAAGGAAATGTGTTACACCAGGCCAAAGAATTTGTTTGGCACTGCCACCAACCAAGAGACTGATCCTTCTTGGCTATTTCTAGCTATTAATGATTTTCTATGATTACGCTGTTTCCGTAGTTTGTTTTATATTTCTATGAATATTTTGTGTTAGCTCTATTTCAGTCTTTTGTCCTTATGGATGCAGTATAGGCTTTCAGAGGTATCTGATAATTGAGTTTACTTTTCTGTTATGTCTAAAAGGAAAACGTCCTTGTTGATTAGTCTTTAAAACGGATTATTGACTATAGATCAGCTCTAGTTGAACTCGTCAGATATGTTAATGTATTTCCATGACTTCCCAATTTCCTGTACTTTTGGTCCATGGTTGTTAACTTTATTATTTGATTTCACTTTGAAGTCCTTACTAATCAGGGTTGATCTTAGAAGCAGGTAATCAGGAGTTTGCTATTTCGAGCTCTATTCCTCATCCTAGTTAGAGGAGCCATATAGGCATATAAATACTTGGTCTTTATTCCAGTAAACCTGTTTTATCAAACAATTAAACTTGCTAAGTACTGTCCATGGAGCTTGGACATATCTCATTTATGCCCCAATCATTTCATATCATGCTAGAATCGATCTTAATTGTTTGTCTTGCCCTTTGGCTATCAAATTTAGCAAACACCTGCCATGACTTCAACTGTATGAAGTTGTGCTATGTCAGATATATAATTGTATTGCATTATATTATTTCTTTTAATGGAAACACCCCCACAAGTTGAACAAAATAATTTCCATTGAACCATATTCTGTATCAAGTACAAGGACTCGTCAAAACCATATCAATGAAAAGCTCTCACGCTGTGCAGCTATGACCATATCAGAGAGGTATCAAGATTCAAGAACATCAACGTGTAGAACAGAATAAGATCCGTAAAAGGAACATCAGAAAACCCTTAAGTTTTAGAGAATACCTCTATTTCAAGTACATTTGATGATGAATGAGAATACAGAAAGGGCTGACATAGCCGCCTAAATCTTGTTTCTCTTTCGCAGTGAACAAAAACCTCCAATGCAAATGAGGGAGGTGAAGTGGCCCTGTAAATTAAAGAAAATTAAATGAGGGAAGTGAAGTGGCCCTCCAAAGTAAATGCCAAACCTGGGAGAAATTAAAGAAACTGAATGGAAACCATTTGATCCCGTGATATCAGAGGTAATATAGATCATTAGGTTAGACAGTAATTCCATGGAAAATGTGGAGAGATGGAAGGCCACCATACCCCATAAGTTTCACTGCAGAACAAGCTGACGGAGCATTGTGCTCGAGAAACTCACAGGCAGTGATGACTACAGGTTCCGCAAATAGCACCTGGGGTGAAAACAGAGTAGGAACACTTGCACCAATTAATAAGACATTTCAATTACAAAACCAGTAATGATTTCATATAAGTACACAGTATTTCAAGGGGGAACACAAGAAGCAAAATATCTTTTTGTGCGTATGGTGTGTGTTAGCATGCTAATTCGGGTGTACAAACATGAACAAGTAAGGGGACTGATTTTAGTTGTCTAGAGAGTTGGCCCAAGGGATAAGCAAATAACTAAAAGAGGCAGTAAAATGTAACATGAAGGGCCAGAGTTAAATTGATGGGGACAATAGGCTAGGCAGGCAAAACAGATTCAAAAGCAAAAGAGTAGAGGAAAAAACCACAATGGGTTTAATGACCAAAACCCGCCAAAGCAAGCAATTATGCTTTTGAGCCAAACCGCCAGTTCCCGTGAATGTGAGGATAAATGAGGGGGACTAAGAGAACTGGGTAAACCAAGAATGATAGGAAATGGAGTTTAGGACAGTTCAAGAAGTGCTAGGACGACTTGATTATTAGAGTTTGAAGAAATATGGAGGAAAAGAACTTCATAATACTGACAGCTCAAGGTCTCGTTCCAATTCAATTCAGTTATTTGAATTGTTCCTGTTATGTTTACATCTCTATTTGTATTATCTTCTAGATATTTAGGACGACACGGTGACGATTGTAGACAATGTTGATGTGTTGGTGTCAAAGTTTGATGGTGACACTGGATGAAACTAGTACTGCTGATGAAGATGACTTATGTTGGAGCATTGTCACCTTTTCATAGGCACTACCAACTTCAAGGACTCCAAATCATTCTAACTTGGAAAACTTAAATAAATAGAAGAAGTCCAAAGCCTAATGTAACTAAGAAATCCTTAATCACGGAAAAAATTCAAAATCGAATACTATAACAAGGAAATCTTTAATAGCCAGGAAAAAAATCCCAATTCCAGTTGGAAACCTAAACGAAACACTATGCAAACACTCCAAACAAAAAAATTACTAATCTGACAGGGATTTTAAACTAAAAAATTAAATTCTAGTTATTGCATCATCTCAATATAAGCTCACCCAAACATGCTCTAATATACATGATTGATTCAAAACATATGTTTGTACTTCTGTCTATACACAGAGTTGTAACAATTCATAATGTATTGAGCATTTTCTTTTTGTATTGTGATGCTGCAAAATGTTATAGCATAAACTTCTAAAGACGCTGGTTTTAATTGGGTCTTCAAAAAGAGGTGTAATAGATTACTCCTTGAAAAGAAATTGGATTTGGAAAGGGCAAGAGTGGGTGTTTTAACATGGAAAGCAATGGTTTCGTCTACCTTTTGCAAATGTTGATAAGAGGAAAAAATAGGATCGTTGAGGGATGTGAGCCAGAAGTTTCTAAATATGAGATAGAGCTAAGTTCTTATCATGCTTTAGATTTCTATGGTAAAGACCAAGGGTGTTCCATCTTCTTTAATTATCTGCTGTAAAGGATATATTGTGTTGTTGACTTTTTTATTTCCAACTAATAAATATGAAGTGTGTCAGTTTATTTCTAGATGGGCAAATCAGCAAGTCTAATAACCCAATGAAAAAAAAGGATGTGCTAAGAATAAAGAAGTTGAAAGAGACAAATGGGGCTCAATGCTATCCGAAGTCATCACTTAGTCCTAAAGGACAAAATTCTAATAGAAGTATTCCGTAAGAAATCATCTTAAAGATGCAACATTTCTACCATATTATGGTAGATATCTATTAAGTTGTAAGTTGTGGAGCTTAATTATTGTCGACTTTAATTATTGCCACTTTACAAAGATTGGTGTCCTTGTAAAATTCAATTTCACCCTAATTTATCTTATAAATAGGAAACCTTCCTTAGGCTTTTTTTATTATCATCAAAAAGAAGGGCTAGAGAAGATAGAGAGTGATTTTCTTTTGTAAACCATTTTTTCATTATAGAAAATTACTGCAACAATAGGTGGGAAAGGGCATAGTCTCACGTAACGAACCTCTATAAATCTTGCGTATTCTTGAGAGTTTATTTTTCTTTTTTCAAATTGATTGCTCTCGGTGGAATAGAATTATGGTTTATAATTCTCAACAGCCTACCTGAGATTTTCTCCCACTATTGAGCAACTTAAAAAAATTTCTTAACCCTAAAAGTTTAACTTTTACAAAAGTAAAATAGGACCTCCATGGCAAAAATCCTGCTCCACACTGTACCTAGTACCTACAGTAGCTAGTTATTCCTGTCTATCTAAACATTTACCATTTTATTTTTTACAGTCAATCCCTGGTGTGCTCACGTAATTAACCAAACCTCCCGCACTGCCAAAGGAAGCTTTTAGATAGGTGATCCCATTGAAATATATAGTCCTGTGTGCTTATTCTTCTCTTACTGCAAATGGTGATCGACAATTCACAACAGGAAAATTAATCGTGTATATATCAGCATTTGCTAAACATTTGTCCATGCCCTATTGAACTTTTCTCTATTAGATGTAAAATTGCCTAACATAAGAATTACAAGAAATCTAACGCCGGCCCAATTTCCATATCTCGCCCCTCCTGAATCCATACCATGCTTTCATGATGACGTGTAGAAGCAAAATTGTGTCAGACCATATAATTGAATAATAGTAATACTCAATTACGTAGTTCAATTGTTACGCTCCTTGAATTATACATCTTTGATCTAGCGTAAAAAATACGTGCTATATAATTCGTAGAACTTCAGCTTCCAATTTATTTTTTTTAGCACTGTAGCAAAATTAACTAGCTTTTAAGCTTAGCAAGTAACTTTTTGTTTGCAACATGTTTGGATATGTTAGTTTTTCCTTAAAGTAAAAAAGACACTTGTTTTTAAAATAACTCTTAACCTCAAAATAAATCTTATTTCCAATTTTGATCAGTACAAAAGTTAATTATTTCAAAGCGTACTCATTTATATAAAATTTACTTATCGGCAAGAGCATATTCTCTTGTAGAAGAAGCTAGATTTTTTGGGCAGTATCACCCTTGACGGTGCCCAAAAAGGGATAAAAAATACATGCACAAATTTTTATTACCCAAAAAATTGCGTAAACAGTCCGCCATTTCAAGTTTTCAACTCTCTGGAAAAACCCGGGAAGCAAAAACTTACGAATTCATAAGCATCAATTCAAAATTTCAATTTACTCTCCAATTCTATAAGACAAAAAATTTTTTTTAACCAAACTAACATAAATTGAGCGTTGAAAATTAAGTAAATACCTCGTCGACGTATTCCTTGAGGTTGGGGTGAACGAATGTCTGAGCGAAGAGCACGCAGGCTTCGGGTCGACCCATTTCTTGTTGTGACCCGAATTGAATCAGTCTGTAAATATCTAGGGTTTTAGCTCGATTCAAGTGAGAACGTCAGCATAGAAGAAAGAAAGATGCAGTTTATTTAAAGGGAAGACCCAGGCAGAATTCTGTTAATTGCGGATGTTAATGACGAAACTTGATGCGCAAAATATTGAATACATCGTATCATAATTGGTCCTTAACAATTTCGTCCATCTTCATTCGAGTCCAAGACATATTTGAACTAACCTTACGTTTATCTAGGCTCGAACATGAGGCGAGCCCAATAGGCTACCACCTCGGCCCTCGGGCCAAGAATTATTTGGGGCCCAATTTTTTTATTTATTTTTGAAATTTGAATAAACATATATTAAAATTTAAAATGTTTATTTGATGACAACAAGGGCGAACCCAGAAATTTTTTTCCAGTGCGGGCGGTATTAGTAAAAGTAAAAAAAAATAAAAAAACACACACACATTATAACCAAACTCAAAATTTTCTATTTCAATAGCACACACAGCAATGCACCAACAGAAACACAGATGATTAGAAGAATAGTAGAAAACATTAGTGGTTGCCAACAGAAAATTCAATAGTTGCCAGTCGCAGATGATTAGATGAATACCTGTGGTTATTCCTATTTCCTCAAAATTTACTATTCAATAGCAGCCAAACTCAAAATTTCCGTATTATTGATGACTGAATTTCTTAAGTACATATCTTTAAGAACTCTCTAAAGCATACCCAGAGAACACAGAGCACTGATATTAATAACAAGCAATTAAACTTACCACATTGATTATTGGTCAAATAAATAAATAAAACATAACATAGTGACTGAAAAAAGGATATCGATTCATCGATGATGTTTTACCCACACCGAAAATATTAGTGCATAAATTCAATAGAAAATTAGTGGTTGCCAACAAAAAATTCAATAGCAGGCAGTCGCATATGATTAGATGAATGCATGTGGTTATTCCTATTTCGCCAAAATTTCCTATTCAATAGCAACCAAACTCAAAATTTTCCCCAAACAATCAAACTCACAACACTCGTGGTTATTCATATTTCCTCCCAATAAATAAGCGACGTACTTACCCATTGCATTATGCATATACTCTACAGCAGTATAGCCAATGCCCAATAGCAGATGAATATTGAATACCAATAGGCAATAGAAATTTTAGAAAACTCACCTACTGACTTGGTAGCCGTCTAACCGATGAACGTTGCGTGGATGAACGCTGCTACTCTTCATACCACCAATCCAGCATGAGCATCAACATGGCACGTGCGTGGATGTAGGGGCGTGCGACGGTGCGAGTATGCGACGTGCGTAGACAGTGGATGCAGGGGCTTCTCAAATCTCAACCCAATGGTTTTGGTATTGTAATGGAATAATGGATTGCATTTACAGCCTGCAAGGGCTTCTATCATGTGGTGGAATGGGCAAAATAATTGGCCCACTTTTTTTTTCTTTTTTTTTTTGTAGTATCGGGTTGCTGCAAAAATCTAGGGGCGGTCCAAGCCTAGTGCAGGCAGATGCCTCCACTGGGCTTTGGTTGGCTCCGCCCCTGGATGACAACAAAGTACAAATGGTATATTGGTAAAGCTTTCGTACATGGATAATGATATCAAGTGATGAATCAAGGTTGGTGAACTAAAGAGGTGATAAACTCAGCCCAACCTTTTGGGTTTGAGGATAATGGGAGAAAGTACTTACTAATTTATGCTTGGTCGTAGGAAATGCCAACTAGTCCCTCAATCCAAAACAACTAGGAGTCGAGGAATAATATGATTTGAAAGGAGCAACTGTTAAATGTGAGTTATTTTAAACAATAATCAAATGACGAATAAGAAAAAATCTAACCAATGTTTAGTGGAGATTAAAATCATATTTTTAGTAAATTTTGATAAAATTTATAAATATGTGGTTGAAGAGTTGTGAATCTCATGAAATATGTAATTGAAATTAATTATTGACTTTTATTTAAATTATAATCTAGATTTTAATCCATACCAAACATGGACCTATATACATGTGCCGTATTTGCATTTATGGATCATAAAGAGTAATCTTGTCTTCTTGTCAACCTTGTTTGACATACTCTATAAAGAGAAAAAATAGTTTTGAATAGTGATTTTTTGGAGAATGTGTTGTTGAAAAGTAAAAAAAATTGATTTGACTGCAAAAAATTTTATTTTGTAAATATATGGTAGAAAAAAAAAAGTGTCAAACAAGGGGCTCAATTTCTCCGCATACTGCTACCAATGTCACCATTGAAGTCCTCCACCACCTGCCACACAAATTGACGAGCATGTGGAAGAGGAAATTGAGTAAAATACTCATCGCCACCACAAAATTCTCACCCACTATCGAAAAAATCAATAGGTGTTGAGCACAGTGTTTTGCCATAGATATAAAAATTAGCCCGTGTATCTCGAACGAGAAAATTAACGTCAACGAAATTATAAATGTAGCTAAAGGATGGGATTGATAATCCAGTTTGAAGGCTGGGGAGAAATTTGCTGGAGGCTTTAAACGTTAGAAACCGATTGTGCAAATTTCCCGAGAAGCAAAGAAATTGGAAGGAAAAAAAATCGTTAGAAAGTTTGCCTGTTTGGGTTAGGGTTAAACATAGAATTTTGCCATCCTTGAAAAAAAAAATAGCTTGTGAATTTAGCCCATGTTTGATAACAATATTTTTCAAACTCTTTTTTCTACGTATTCATTTTAAATCACATTCAAACAATAAAATATTTTACATGTAAATCCAAAATTTTTTTCATACTTTTTAACCACAATTCTTCTGAAAATCACTATTCAAAACTCTTTTTTTTTTCCAAAAGTGTGGTTGTGAAATGGGTTAATCTACTTGTACAATTGTCCTTGACAATGATAGATGACAACATTAATGTTGTCAAAATCCGGACCATTAATTTTAAAAACATTTTTTGAAATAGATGAATGTGATTTTGACAAATATGATTGTCAACCAACATTGTAAGAAAATGTTATACACCTAGTATGATTCAAAATAAAAATTTAGATTTTAATATAAATTAAAGTCAATTATTAATTTTAATCATATATTTTATGGGTCTCATAACTTTTTAACCACACATTTTATCAACTCCCATCAAAATTTGCTAAAAATATGATTTTAATCCCCACCAAACCGAGCTAAATATGATGAAAAAAACGTTGAGATTGAAAAGTCTTTTGCGATAAAAATTTGCCAGTGGGGCACTAAAAGAGTTGGGAGCTAAAAATATAATTGTTAATTTATTAAAAAAAAAAAACTAAATAAATGTTTAGGATCTCAAACAATTTTGGCTTATTTGCACAAGTGATCCCCAATGTGTAGGCATTTTTGCAGAAAAGGACCTATTGTTTTATTCTTGATAAAAACGTTATTATTTCAACATTTGATTGCAAAATTGGTCTTTCATATGGATTCTGTCTAATTGACCATTAAAAATTCAATTTTGTCCAAAAAAATCATTATATATACCCTTGACTTTAGTTAAAATAATTAGGAAAAAAGAAACAAAACATAAAAAACAAAGATAAGGATTAAATAATTATTCTACATGTACGTCGGGATTTACACCCTTGTGTACGTAATGCACAAGTGACAGTTCATCATTGGTTAATGGAAAAAGCTATTTTTTCACTAACAAATAATGAAATGCCACTTTGCCATTATATACATCATGGTGTACACCCTAATATACATATAGCATAACTCAAGATTAAAAACAAAAAACAAAACAAATAATTTTCCTAATCACCCGCAATCTACCATCCCACCCTCACCACTGCCCCTAGTCATCGAGGAAAACTGGTCGAGATTGGACATTCTGGCCAAAAGAAGTAGTTGATATAAATTTCTGCTTGTATACCATTTAAGTTTTTCTTTCCAAATAATGTGCAAATTTGCATCTTAGAGCACTAGTTTTTTGCCCATGCAAGATGTGTTTTTTTAAGGTAATGTTAATGTGTTGAACATTAATGAAAACCCAAACTATTCTTAAAGGTCGGTAAGTTAACATAAATCTATAGTAGAGAATTAAAACAACAAAGCATTTCTACAACTACTTAAAACATAATGATTATTTCATTCCAAATCACTAAATTCATTGGATCAACACAAGTATTTGAATCAAGAAATCAAGAAAAAAGTGCAAGAAAAGTGCAGGTTAGTCATATCAACTGGAAGCCTTATTAAGAGAGTGTTTGGTGGAGATTAAAATTAGATTTTTAGTAGATTGTGATAGAAATTTTTGAAATGTGTGGTTGAAAAGTTGTGTGACTCATGAAAGATGTGATTAATATTGATTGTTTGACTTTGAATTGAATTAAAATCAAATTTTAATCTGGATCAAATAGGGGATAAGATTGTTTCAAGTTGATCATCTCTGGTTAGTCATATCAAGTAAATAGTTAGTCCACGTAATAACAGGGCCACTATACAAATGCAAATTAATTAGCAGTGGAACATATCAATCAAAATTCGAAAAGAGAGATGAAAATAAAAGAAATACTTACGATAAATAAAAATTTAGATTTTTGGCACCAAGCTGTTTGGTTTTGAGGCAGCTTCTTCTTTATGTTCTCTCATAAAACCTACAATTTTCATGAAAATAATGCAGAAAAGAAGCCATAAACAGACAAGTTTCAAGCTCCAATAGAATCTAGTGAAGAAAATAGTCGTAACAAAATTCAACAATCCATATTTCAAGTTGCAACACCTTTGGAGAGTTAGATGTTATACCTTATCGACAAAGAAATCTTTAGGTGCACCATTAGGTGTCTTATCCTCATTTTTCTTTTATTTCTTGAATCCATCAAATTCCCATTACTTCTTTCCCGATTTCATCTTTTTTTTTTCCTCGTGGTCGAGACCATGATCAACACTACCATTCCCCCATTCCTCTATCTAAAACAGGGTTCTAAAATGTTTCTTTTCAGGTTTGTCACAAATACTTCACTCAT